CCTCCCCCCTCCCCCCTCCCCCCTCCCCCCCCCCCCCCCCCCCCCCCCCCCACCCCCCCCCCCCCCCCCCCCCCACCTCCCCCCCCCCACCCACCCGCCACCCGCGCCCACACCGCGCACCTCCTGCGCGAACACGCGCGCACCGTGCGCACCCCATGCGTTAACACGCGTCTGCGAACGCGCGCGCACGCGCCCGCGCCGTGCGCACAACGCCCTCACGGACACGAGCGCGTGCGCGCGCACAGTGCGCACCCCATCTGCGAACTCGCGCGCGCACCCCCTCCGCACGCCCTCCGCGCACACCCTGCGCACGCTCTCTGCGAACGCGCGCGCGCATGCAGTGTGCACGTGCCCTCTGCGAACACGCGCGTGCACACCCTGCGCACGGCCTCCGCGAACGCGCGCACGCGCTCGCCGTGCGCACGCCCTTCTGCCAAATCAGAGCGCACGCTTTCTTCACCCTCTGCGAACACGCCGCGCACGGTGCGCACCCCATTTGCCACACGTGCTCCCTCTGTGAACGCGCGCGCACCTTCACTGTGCGCACATGGGGCATGGGCGGGGGGCGGTGCGCGCGCGCATGGGGTGTGCGTGCGCGCGCAGGGGCAGGGGGGGCCCGCGCGCAGAGGCAGGAGCGGTGCGCGCAGGCGCAGGGGCGGCGCGCGCGCGCAGCATGCGGAGTGCCATTTCCCTTTGTCGTGAACTTCTGGAAACGTTCAATGAACTGTGCAGGCGTTCGACGCTACCCTAGTTTGGATGTGTTCGTAAACTCTGGGAGTTTTCGGCCAGTTTAAGCTTTCGCGTCTTCTGGCGGAGAGCAGCACGCAAGGCCGAGCAGGATGCCCACGTTGCTGGCATCAAGACGTCCAAGCTGACCGACGATTCCGACAAGGATCACCGATACCAACTCGACGACAACTCATAAGTAGGGATGCTTGTTAAAGTTACAGCCTGTCGCGAGCCGGTACCGTCATGTATGTGCAACACCCTTCGTTCAGTTTGATGACCGGCACTCTGTTGAGCATTTAGCTTTGACTCACGACAGACCTTGAAACTTGCTGAGGACTCAAACGAGGAGGGAATGGCTCGGCTGGAGATAGGGTCGAAGCGGCTCGGCTGAAGAGTTGATGCCCGAATGCCGGCGAGGGAGATCTCAGAGCTTTACAGGATTGTAGGGGTTTCGTGCATGATCAGGGGGCAGCATCCGGACATCGTGGTGAAGGCATGTCGTGTTTCCATTGCGGCATGAGGCTTGAGGAGGCTTGCGCTGAGGGAGCTTTCTGACCGCGAGGATGCAGAAGACGGTGAAGCTGCTGACACACGAAAAGGTCCATCTGTGACCGAAAAGCCACACTTCCAGATGTCAGCATCCGCTGAAGTCTTCCAGCGGCGCGGCGCCCTCAGGTATGAAAAAAAACTAAAGGAATAGACTGAATAGCCATGCCTTCGATTCATGGTCCCATAATGTCAATATGGGGTTGACTCCTGCACCCAGTCCCACGCAGCGCAGCATCGAAGAGAAGATCAGAAGCGCATTCGAAGTTTCCTTGGTTCGCCGCGGGAACCAAGAGTCGGGCGGAGTAGCAGAACCACGAGGTATCTGGGCAATATATCAGTCGCTTGTCATGCAGTGCAGTTTTTTGCTTGTCCTCAGTTGTTGTCTCCAGGCTACGACCCGTGGGCAGCTTGGGCATCTGGCTGTGGCCAGAGCACATTCGACTACACGCAAGCCTATGCCTACAGCCAGTGCTACGACCCGTCCTCGAACAACCAGATGGCCTACCTGCAGGCAGATATTTATAATGTCACTTAATCGTGGAGGGTGGAGCCTCGTGCCATGATCAGTTTGACAGGGACCGCATTGGCAGCAACCGCAGCTTCAATATTGCTGGGCTATGACCGAAGGACCGCCGTTCGGTAGGCATGTAAAACCTCGCCGCTCTTAACCAGTATACGACACAGCAGCAGCAGCAGCAGCAGCAGCACAGGGTGCACGGATTTGCAGACATCCAGGGTTAAAGAAGTAATCCCAACAATTAGTCTGCAACTGTGAATGTGCAACTGTGAATGCAAGCCGCATGTTGACCAGGCAGGCACTGCAAATGTTGAGGAGTGAAAGCTCTTCATGGTGCGGATTGCTACAACGGCGACAGCTACTACTGCGCAAACTACTGTGGCTACGGCTGCTTGCTACCAATATTCCATTCGAGACTCCCTGGCCTTTGGCTGTGCTCCCCGTGGTCTCAGGTCAGGATCAGGTTCCGATTCAGCGAGCTTCCTATACTGAAGGATTCTGAAAGCCTGAACGATGCGCATTAGAGTCATTTGCAGCAGAAGCTGGGAACCTGCCTGCTCAGTGCCTTCTGTGAATCCGCTGCGACAAGAGCTCGGAACGTTCCCATCCTTGCACGAGAAATCTTATTCTGTCGCGCAAGTGCTTTGAACAGTGGTCGACTATGGCCGCATACTGTAGCAGCTCTCATATTCTCGAAGTGACCAAGGTGGGACGACGGCAAGAATTCCACCGAGGTGCCGAATCTGCGGCGCGGGTTTGATGCTGAGGTCGTAGAAGTCCAAACAACTGCCTTTGAACTTGATTTCCACACTGGAGCTTTGTTGCTGCAAGTGCCAGTGTAGCATGGCAGCTCCAGCTTGGGCTTGTGCAGCAAACTGGAAGTCGGTGGGACCGTTGAGGTGCGCATCCGTGAAGTCCACAAGGGAAGCAGGCACAAACTGGGCGTCGGAGTGCCATCTCCATCCTTGCTGCAACATGCGCCCTCACGAAGACATCCTGTCGATTGTGCCGAAACACGATGGTTGCACTTACTTCCAAAGGGAGGCAACGGTGTTTTCCGACCACATGCTTGCTCAATCTGCTTGCATTGCTGCGCTCTCAGCTTCACCATGCTGCACATGCAGTGCCGGTCGGCTGACATGCCAATGCCGGCCCACTACTGGCCAAGGCCCAGGATTTATCCCGCAGATCCCGTCGGCATGCCTGCGGTCACGGACCCGATGGTGCATCGGCACAAGGACCACCAGTCTGTCGAACCGGCCGTCACGGTGGAGGTTGGGGACAGACCCAGACGCTCAAAGCAGCGGAGTTCTCATTCGAACAGGCCCGCGCCGTCACCACGTCTTGGTCGGAGGGCTCCGTGGTTCTCCACCAGGGAGAGAAGGTGGAAATCACCCGTGAGTTGCATCTGCTGCTCAGGTTTGACGCTGAGCTGGCAAGTCGACTGGTCTGCCGTGTGGTTCCGTCCGCTGCCGTGCCATGTACAAGGTGGTTTCGAGGCCTTCGTGCCGTATTGGTGCTTCTGAGGCATGGCGATCGTGCCGGAGGTTTTGGGAACATAATCTTTCCTACCAGCTGGCTGTCTGTTTTGGTTGGTTTCTGATGGCTTCGGGCGGGTGTGTGGGCAAGCTGGTCCAGCTGCACGCTGCGCCGTTGCTTGCGGCTTCTTGAGGTTCTTCTGCTGACGGGAGGGTGCCGCTGATGTTGTGATTCGGGGGGCAGGCTGGTCCAGCAATTCTGCTGCACCGGCAACCGCAGCAGATGTGCGTCTCGCATTGCCAGGCCTTGGGCCCGACAAGCTTCTGGCACTTCTCAGTGACCCCATAGGGGCATTCGCCGAGAGGCGGCAGTGCACAAAGCATGTCGGGGAAAAGCAAGCGGAAGCTTGTGCAGGTGTGCAAGCACCTCAATGCTTGGAGGCGTTGTGGTGTTGTGACTTGTGGGTCCACGTCAGAGGTCGCATGGTCTGGTGTGACATGACTACAGGGTGCGCCTGACGCGCGACCCGTGAATTGCACTTTGGAATCTTGAGAGGCCACACATCCTTCGGCCATGGAAGTCCAAATCTCGGAGCGTCACGTGAAGAGCTTCCTATAGTGAATCTGTGGTGTAATGACCTCTGTAGAAGTGTTTGTGTCCATGACGAACCCGGCGCTTTCCTAGGCCACCCAACGATACGGGAGCGTTTCCCGTGGTGGTCCATCATGCACATGCTATAGCTTCGCAACATGTCAGAATGACCAGGCGCCGAACATGCAAGGGGGGGTGTGCACTTGGACCGGACAATTGTTGGCGGGGCTGGGCATGTCCGCAGCAGGTGGGTTAAGCCGGTGATCACGCTGTGGGACCCAATTCTGAATGCTGAATGCGTGTCAATGACTGGCACTGTGGCCGTTGACTGCTTTGCACAGGTCTGCTGTGAGCTGCCAATTGAGGGGCCGATCTGGCATGCTGAAGCATTGGAGTCTCCTTGACAGCCAGATTGTGGATATCTTGTGTATAGATACTTTGCATGAAGATGTTTGAAGTCTCCACGCCGGCCAATTGTTTGCAGCTCTCGACATCTCCGAGAGTCTCAAAGAATCAATGAAAATCACATCGCGGCAAGTGGAAACAAGGTGCCGGAACATGGGCCTTTGTAAAGGTCTCAAGCTCAGCCGGCTTGCGTGCCTGTTTCCTGCGCACTCAAGCAGCACTCAAGCAGCTCAGGCAGTGGCAGTGTGCCATTTCAGTGTATCCCTGGCGCAGCACAGCAAGGTTCCAGATGGTTTCGCAGTTTGGCCGTTGTTGAAAATCGGACAGGTGAGTTTGCAAACAATCTAGTCCCGTTCTTTAAAGTGATCTTTGTGATAGTTATCAGGCGACATGTATCACAAGGTTACACCCCCATGTATGCTCGGGGTTCTGCTCCCCCCGAAGCTATTCCACCACACATCACCTGCATAATTTGCATAATCTGCATCATCAGGATGAGGTTCTCTATCTCCTTCCCTTCCCCTTTCTCTTGCCCTCCTCTCTTATCCCTCCCTCTTCCCTCCATCCTCTCCTCCTCTTTTCCTCTTTCTAGTCTCTCCCCCTCCTTCCTGCTTACTACTTTCATGCCCTTTGCCCTGTTGACATATGAGCATCCACCCAGTAACAGGGAAGGAGATAGAAGGAGGACTCAAATGATGCAAATGTGATAGCCATGACCATTGGGCGAGGACCTGCAAACCTGCATAATGGATATTCAGGATTATCCAGGTGTTTGGGTATATCCAGGGTCATATTCCCCAGCCCTGTAAGCGCCCTGCGAGGCCATGGACAGCATTTTGCAAAACCTGCAGAGAAAGTACAGGGTGCCGGCATATGTTGCATGTTTGTACACGTACGCTTGGTGTATGTGTTGATATATATATATATGCACACACACAACATATAGATATGTTGATACTGATAAATTTCAGTTTTTGATGCTTTGAAAACATCTTCATGGTCGAGTTTTGTCAAGTTCCACCATCTCTCTGCGACTTCGCATTTGGAGACTTCATCCGTCCCTTGCTTCCCTAAATGAATCCCTAGGTCGCTGACCGAGGGAAGAGCCCATGCCCTGCAAAAACTATGGGAACTCATGGGACGGCTCATTGCCTCAAGGTCGCACTCGGCAGATTCCGCTTCAGACACCGCTTTTTGAGGTGGATCCAGCAGACTCCTGTGATTCAGCTCTCCACCTCAGCTAATGTCGAGGACAGCCGGCCATTGGAGAAGTTTGCAATTTTTTCCCGCGTGTGGTGGGAGTTTGTGGATTTCGCGGTAGGGAGGGATCTGAGAATTATCTGCATGTTCAGACACGCAAATCAGTGTTTATACAAGTTGTGGATGTCATTGGAAGGTGCGGCACATTAGTTTTCCGGCACCCAATCACTCATCATGCGTGCGGAGGACACAGCTGTGAGAATCCATGACTGGTGTCCGTTTGGTGTCCAGAGATGTGATTGGCGATGCCTCAAGTATGAAGCTTCACGAGCAGATCACCAATCGATCCGCAGACACCAGACGATCGTCGAAACGACTTGCCGCGTGCATCAGAAAACAAACGCGGAGAGGTTATCCAGTCGATGGCTGCTGATTGTATCATATGGCGCACATCGGCGCATGTTCGAGCCATGAAGCTCTATGGAGACAGGATGGACATGAAGCACACGAGCCATGTCTCATATCAAGGATAGTACTGCTCATGTGACAGCTGCCGAAGCAAGCAGCTTCTCAACGCGAAGTTGTAGGGGCCCCTGAAAACCAGTTTTTCCAGGGTGAAAAACATGTTGTACGTCAGTTGGAAGGCGCAGGAAAGACTGGAATGACATGTATATGTTAGTGTCGTACTTCTTGCATGCTACTCTGCACTGCACAGCTTTTTGAACTATGGACAGTCATTAGACTCCATTGCCCTGGGAAAAACAGATCAGCAGATCGTCAATACGCATTCTTGCGCCACTGAGCATTCATTCGCAAGGAATCAGTGGTTTTGATGTTCTTCGCATTTCGCAATGTGTGAGACATGCTGAAACGAGAGATCCTGATGAAAGACGTAATATTCCGCATAACATTTGCTATATTTGACCGCGGAGCCAAGATAACAGTTCAACTGGAAATTGGACACTTGTCCGTAGCACGTTCGATTCTGCTCTACGCCAGCTTGGGCTCGCAATGATAAGTGCTAACCACCCTTCGCTCAACGCCCCCACCAGAACCAGTGAGAGGCGCTTGGCTTGTTTGAATCTCATGGAACACAAAAAAGAACGCTTCCCCCATTCCGTTTCCGTGTGTTGCTTTTCTGTGTACTGGACGCCACGAGGTATGCCAAAACTCAGACCGAGCAGCCACAAGAAGTGAAAGAAAAAGGGCTCCTGAATTCAGAACAGACGAGCTTGGTTCGGCGAGGATTTCACAAGCTTTTGCCTGGTGCGTGTTCCAAGACCTTGGCTGATCGAACCACCAGATTCAACATGCAACATGTTTGCAAGACTTTACACCAAGATGGCACCAGCACATATTGCATGGGACTTTAAACATCGAGAGATGCAGAACCTTCATAGACGTGTATATATATATATACGTTTGTATATCAAAGTGATGTTTGCATATTCTTCGTAGCATAGTCAATCGGTCCAGATGGCGACCATGCGGGATTTGGAGATAGCATTGCCACCGCGCACTAGAGGTTCTTATCATTCGGTGCACGAGGATCCAGAGTGGCAAAAGAGTAGCGGCTTGACCAAAGAGTGCCACGATGTCCCAGAACTTCAAGGCATCCCGATTCCAAAGCAGCCTCTAGTGCGCTGCGACCGCTTGCTTCAAACACTTATTGCCGCCTTGCTTGTCGTATCGCCAGTGCTGCTACACAGCTGCCTCAAACAGAAGAGCTTCATCTCAGCCAGCAAGGTGTCAATAGATGTTTCCAATTGCCACGTACTGGTTGAAGATGGTGAAGCACCTGGTGTGGCTACTCAACATTGGCCTTTTATGGGAAGCTTGCAGGAACGGTGGTCCGGCGACACTCTGCGACTGGCGGCTACCATGCGACCTCGTTTATCATCTTGGTTTCGCTGTGGTATCACAGTTGTGGCTCCATTTCCCAGCCAAACTACCCACAGCCTGACAGAGCTCAATGTGACGGTGTCCGATGGTGAACTTCCAGTTGCAGTGCTACTGACGGGAGGCAAGGTATGGGGACCAATCCAAATCACTGCCAAATCGAAGGCCGTGATCAACGCCACAGCAATACAGAGCCAAGACAGCATCAGTATACGATCTCGCGAGCCCGGCCTGGTGAACCTTCAGATTGGGAGAAAGTCGGCAACCAGTTGGAAGATCCAGGGTGCGAGCCCTGTTTTCGTCAAGTCCAATGTGCCGGTTGAGATCAAATCAGCGGCTCTTGGTGTTCTTCGAGCGCCCGAAGTGCAGGACTTGGGATGGATCATTATTGTAGCATTCTGTATCATGTGTTTATGCCAACCAAGTCACTACATGTTTTATTGCAAAGACAGCTTGCATATTGTCATGTTCCTTATCAGTATCTATCGATAAGCTTACCCGCTTTCGCGCATTCCTTCGACGTGATGTTTCATGCAGGACAGCTCCGGGCACGTCAAGCTTTGCAGCGAGAAATCATCTTATGCCTTGGTCGGGACCAGCAAAGCTAACAAGATCAAGTCGCTGAAAGATCGCCGTTTGCTCAGCAACAGCTCCAAGGATTGTTCGCCTGTTGGAAGCATCGAATTCCTAGCAGCTGGTGATGCAGAGATTCATGCGGAAATACCATGCAGAGTCCATCCGTGCCAGGTGCAATCTGCGTCTGAAGAGCTTCGACTGACGCCTACGGCCGAAGGGATCTTCAGGAAATGAGAGATTTCATGGCCTCGCAAAACAAGAATCGACAGCCATGGCTGATTTCAATTGGCCTCAATGGATTGGATGAGCGATGGGTTGTGGCAAGCACCCAAGCATTGAATCACTTCGACACTGCCTGGTTCGGTGCTTTGTCGTTTGGCGTTTTGTCTCCTACAATCAGGCACCCTTTCCTCCAGTTGCAGGGGGACATCAATGGAAAAGGAGCTTCTTTACAGGCTGACAATGCGTACGAGGCCAAATCGCTCATTCCAGAGGATGAACTGGAGGAGGAGTGCCCTGCTTGGCGCCGCAGATTTGACATTGCACATCTTCTCCTTGACGGGTTGGATTTGCAGCCAGGTCTCCCTTTGCATCTTACAAACAGCCACTGCAAGAGCGGCCTCGCGTTCCAAAGGACCCGAAGGGGCATTGAAGTGGACTGGATTGCTGATGGCCTGCCCATTCACATCAAAGCAGCAATGTTTATGAACTTCTGCTGCGCCGGGATGCTTGCAGTTGTGGTGCTTGCGGCTGCTCGGACTATCATGTTGCCATTTCTGCACAAACGGCTTTCGGAGAAGCGAGCTGCACTTCGTGCGTCCCAGCGACTGCAAGTGGGAGTTGTGGAGGAGATGGACATCAGCGCCTACTTCGAACACTACCCTGTCCGTGGTATTCAGTTGACCTGGTCCAAGCGTCAGGCAGCACAAGGGGCCTCAACCTACATCATTCGACTGACATCGCTGTCTGGGACATCTCCACCACCCCTGCAAGTGTCTGCGGGAGAGACAGAAGTCCGTGGAAAAACCTGTAGCTTCTTCCTCTCGCTCGACCGTGCTCACATCACCTATTCCCGAGATGACTTTAGCTGCCGTGTGGTTGCTATGTCCAGAGCGACCCAGGAGCTTGACGCCACTGGTTGGTCCACCCCCGTGAGGATTGAGCCCATTGATGCTGCAGCGTCTCTTCCGTTCAAGATTCTTGCAGCTTTGGCGCCTAGGATTGAAGCTTCCACTCTCAGCTTTCCAGCTTTTGTGCACCAAGCCTGTTGCAAGTACACACCTCCCGCCCTCACCTTGGTGTTGGAGAAGATGCACGTCATTTGCGACCGCGAAGATGTTGTTGAGGACTTCCACGTTGAGCTCTTCTTCGGGAAGGCGCGCGAGGCGTCTGAGCGGGCTACACTTAGTCAAGAAGAAGAATCGTTTGCTTCGACCAGGACCCTTGGAACAGAGGAGATGAGCTCCATCCCCAGAGCAAGAGGATGGACGAAGGAAGATGCCAAAGATTTCTTCGGCATAGACATTTGCCCCGACAGTCCCATTCGTTTGACACCACCTTTCCGTGATGGCATGCGCAGTGGTTCATTGCTACACATCCATTTGGTGGCAAGCGCAGCCAGACGGTTACTGGCGACTGGCCAGGCTGAGTGGAGCGATTTGCAGGATGCGTATGAACGAACTCGTCCAGGCCTCGACTTTACGACGGAGGCCGGAACTTGTAGAGGGTTTCATTATAATAGGGGAGAGCAATAATACAGACCGTCTGGGCTCACACTGACGCGGTAAGCAACATGTGAGTGATTAAACTGGCGCCTTCCCCAATTTTATACGTGGGAACATGCGAGAGCGCTTCCGCAAGCATCCACGTTACGAATCTGAGATGTGTCTAATTGGTGTTGAACAGGTCAAATGCCACTGAGTCCCGCATTTCCCTTGTCACGAAACGGTATGGGTGTGACAGTTTTCGTAGAGAGCTTGTCGTTGAGAGAACATAGACATGCTTCGGATTCGGATCGAATCCCTCATGAAACCTTGATCGGGCATGTCCTGTGAGGTGGATTTGGTGGATGTTGACGGCGACTCCATTGGAGTACTGTGTTTGAAGCCAGACTTCAGCAGTCGGATGTTGGACGAATTCCGGAAAACTGCGAAACCAACTCAGAAGAGGGTGTGGTTCAAGGATGACGTCCCAGGTGATGTATATCCGCAAGGCATGGACCGTTTCATTGTTTGGGAAACGGACGATGAAGAGGATGAAATATGTGGTTCCGGTTCCTGTGATTTGTATTTGGAGCAAGTGGGCATTGAGGAGCCAAAGCTGATTGTGGAGGATGTGCGCTTTTCATCAGAGACGTTTCCTTGGGTTGTGGACGCTGAATTTTCAAATGAGCCGCATACTTGCTGCCGCATTCTCATGGTAGATCATACTCAAGCAAAATCCACTGAATCGATTGGAGAAGGAGGAGTTCTTTGCACGTCAAATTGGTTCTTCGTTATTCAGACTCTAACACTGACCCACCTGGAACGGGCGTACGGCGCCTTTTGCCGCATGAACAACATGGAAATGGGTGGCATCAACTCCCAGTCCCTTCTTGCGGTTGGGATCCAGTCCCGGCAGGTGAGCGTCAGAGGTTGCTTAGGGTTGAGACGCACCTTTGCATTTGAGTCGGCGAAGGAAGATCTTATTCAATGCTCGGGAGGCTTGCTCCTGACGGGGATCTCCCATACTGCAGAGGACAACCGCTACAGACTGAGATCCCACAAAGCAGTCATTGTAGAGGGACTTCGCTTGCTGGATAGCCGGAGCTGCTGGTACGAGGACCAGATGCTGTCTGAAGGGCTTGATGCATGCTTGCATATGCGTCAGGCGCTGGAGAGATCTGGCTCCTTGCATTCACTGTCAGCTCTGGGATTTGCTTTCGCCATCGTCATGATGTCATATCAACTTGTGTGTTTCTTCGCGTTTCCAGCAATGGCGGTGGTTTTCCTGCAGGTCTTGGAGGGTTCCCGAGTTGAAACGGCGGCGTCAGACCTCCTGCAAGCTTCGCAACTGGCAATGCATCCGGAAGACATCGGAGCGATACCAGCATTTGCCAAAGTCGTGTGTGTCTCATACGTGGTGATTTCTCTTGCGTGTGCTACAACTGCAAATGTGTGCCCGCATGCGCCAGGTGTGATCACACACTGGGCAGACAAAGTCTTGACAATTCTCTCTTTGTGCGCATCTGCCGTGATGCTTTTAATGCTCTTTGTAATGTTGCTGTTCTTCTTGATTGGAGCATTGTTGAGCCCTTCTACCGCACTCAAGCCATTGATCGTTCTTGGTGCTTCTGCCACTGTGGTGGTAAACATGTGGATGCAATTCTCAAGCCTCACGCGTGGGCTGGTCCATGTTGTCGAGGAGCAAGTTAATAGTGTCTTTACCGACGTCCTGGAGAACATGTTGGGTCGCCTGGAGGATGATCCTGAAGCCACTTCATATGATCAGTCAGACTTGGACTTTGCCTTCAGGAAAGCAGATTATCGCTTCCGGGGGCTGGACGCAGAAGGTGAACCCATGAATCCACCTTCTACCGGACTCTTCAAATGCATCAAGGAAGATCACGACATCATCATAGATGTTCGAGACAAAGTTGCCGCCACGAAGACCGGGCGATCAGAAGATGAGGAGGAACATGAAGTCGAGATGGTGTCCAGTGAGCGGGCTGAGCAGCTCAAAAAGCTATATCAGCATTATCTTGCAAAGACGAGCTTGGATGATGTATTGGAATGGCGCATATTTGAAGAGACTGATGCACTCACAGATATCATGCTGCGGGAGCACAACATGAGACTTCAGCTCCTTGACTTCAGTGGGATCGTGTCGGCGGAGAAAGAGACCCGAAAAGGCGCCAAAGACGATTCCAAGAAGCAGCTTCCCAAAGCATACCTTATCCACAAGTCCATCTTCCGTGACGGCTTCGATCAGATGGCTCAGATGATAGTGCAGCTTGCAAGTGAATTTGTTCACATCAATGTGTGGAGTTCTTGTTTTTGCTACTGGCGTCATTTGCGTTCCCACAGCTTTGACACGTTTGGACTGCCGTCGCAAAGGGTTTTTACTTGTTTGTTGTAGCGTTTCAGCACATTTGCATGACTTTTTTTCTCATTTGTTTTCTCCATGTTTGTGTTTTGCGTGCATTGTGGCTTTGCACAGCGATTGTGCCTTTCTTGTTGCTTTTGCAGCAGATCTTCATGCCTGTTTGATCACCCCTCTTGAAATAGAAATTTGAGGGGGGAGACGTAGTCAAAATTTATTCTCAATTACTTTTCTGGGGACCTCGCCCCAAAGGTCGGGGGTGATGATCTAAGCACGTGCCGGTGCCTTAAAAACTTGCCGGGAGTAGACAAATAAATAGTAACGATTTGTTTTTTTTTGGGGGGGGGCAAGAGGGTAGCAAATTTGGTTGGGGGGGAGGCCATTCCGCAGGGGGCGGACGCTTGTTCACGACCTTCCACCGCTGGAAATTTCTTTTCCCCTTCCTTCCCCGTGTAGAAATTGGAAGACCGGCCAGGCCCTGAGACAGGCGAGCAAGGGGGAAAGGAGAGCATCCAGAACAGCACAGTTTTCCAAGACCGTTTCCTTGTACCCGCAAGTTGTACCTAAGTCAGGCCCGAAAAAATACCCTCATATCGCAGCCGATTTAGAGGAGGACCCCATGGGGACCCTGATCTGTGGAAGCCAAAATGAAAGAAGTGTACCTTTATAGCACTCACAGGGGGCGAAAAGTACACTTCTTTTGCTTCACAGAAACAGCCACATGATGCAAATGATGCGGCCCAAGTACCCTGCATCATCCGCATCATTGTTTTTTTGTTTGCGGCTCGGACGAAGTGTCTCCACCGTGCCTTTGCACACCTTCTAGGAAAATTTCTTTCGGTCGGCCAAAGGCACGGTCAAATTAGGGTTTCTGGGTTCTCCCATTGAAAACGGTCAATTTGGGATGACTTTGGGGTACCTCCATCTCAAGAAGCACCCATATGGTGACAGTGTGTTGTGGTGATGTGCGGTGGTGGCATATTGTAATTACATGTCGCATGGTGCTGGCGAGTGGTGGGGGGTGCTGATGACCTGGTGGTGCTGGTGACGAGTGGTGGTGGTGACATATGGTGGCGACGACTTGTTGTGGTGGTGACGCTTGATAGTAGTGATGACGTGCACGTGGTGGTGATGTGGTGACGTGCGGTGGTGGTGACGCGTGCTGGTGGTCGTGTCGTGAAGGTGACGTGCGCTGGTGATGTGTGGTGGTGGTGAAGTGTGGTGAAGGTGTGGTGACGCGTGGTGGTTGCGTAAGATGGTGACGGCGATGTATGGTGGTGACATGTGGTGGTGATGTGTGGTGTCCTTGTGTGGTGATATCATGTGGTGGTGATGCTGCGTGGTGGTGACGTGTGGTGATGTCATGTGGTGATCTCATGTTGTTGTGTCCTGTGGTGCTTTTGCCTGGTGGTGGCGTGTGGTGTCCGTGTGTGGTGGTGACGTGTGGTGTCCTTGTGTGGTGGTGACGTCTTCCCACTGTCGGGCCGTTCGTCCTCTGGTCCCTTGTAGTTGCTCACGGTTGAAAAGACGGTAACATGTGAGGTTATTTGGGTCCTTTAATTGTGTTGTTTTCTTGTCTGCTCTGCAGCGGCGAGGGCAGTTTTTGACATTTGACCCAGGCAGTGGGCTGATCCGATGTTTCAGTGGGACGGTATCGTGGAGAAGGTAACAAACTTCTTTGACGATGCGGTGCCAAAGTTCATTTGCAGCTGCGCTGTGTCCAGCTTTGATGCAAATCGAATGGGCAGTGTCGCCCAGAAGGTCTTGGCAAAGGTAGCACACTACGTCGAGACGAGCATCAAGGAGGAACCTGCCAAGACCATGAAACTCACTGATCTCATGACGGCGCTCAAAGAAGAGAGCGGCTGGGCTTCAGGCCTTTTGTTTTCCAAAGGAAATTTTGCATTTGTTGAGAAGCAGGCATGGTCTTTTCTGCGTGATCAAGTGAAACGAGTGATGCCAAACAGCAAATCAAGCAATACCATTCCAGTCTACAAACTGGTGGCAGTGTTTGAGAAGCTGATCGAGGGACGCGTTTGGTGGTCAGCACTTAGCCCATTCTTGAAGGAAGAATGTGGGTTTATGGATGCAGAGATTGATGAGGGTGACTTAGCAAAAGCATTTATGAATACTTCGAAAGGCTGTGGTTTCATGGACTTTCAGGACATTCCAGACGTCCTAATGTGGATGACCGATGGTGGCTTGTGGAAGGCCGCGGCAGTGGCTTTGTTGCGTGAAATCGGTGTGGCAGGAGAACTAGGCAACGAAAGCCTAGGCACTGCCCAGGATGAGAAATCTCGAGTCGATGACGAATGGAACCCACCAAAGTGGCCTCCTTGGATCTTGGGCCGTTGGCAGGATGCCACCGATGAGAAGCCTAACCCAGCGGCTGGGCAGGCCGGCTTCTTGCAGAAGTCAGATGTCCCAGGTTTGATCGAGGATTTGCTCCTCGACATAGCGAAGGACCGTATCAAGAAAGACGATGACCTTCAGCATTTGGAAGACCTGCGCGGCTACCCAGATTGGAAGTACAAGCCAATGGACGAAGTGCAGGGCTGCCCAGCAGAGATGTGGAAGTACATTGATGATACTCATTTGGCCAAGCTTCGCGGTATTCCATGGGAAGCATTTGACTTCATCCTTTCAAAGTTTGACATGGACATGCCCGAACCAGCATCTCGCAAGATCTTCAGCAGCGCCAATGAGATTGCTAAAGCAGCCTTGCGAGAAGGCTTTATCCAGCCGCCTCAAGTCTTAAGCATCATCATGCACATACAAACAAAGCATCGCCCGATTTCGTTGGCTGGATTTGGCAAGCTGCTGTCAAAGGCTGGTATCACCTTACCCAAGCAAGTGATTCAGAGCATTTTTGGTCAGCTTGCTGACATCACGTTGAAGACGGGTGAGGAAAGCTTTGTGTGTGAAGATTTGGTCGATTTGGAGGAATTGGGGCCGCTTGTGGAGAGGTATCTCTCTGGCGGAATGTGGCTAGAAGCACTCTACGGGGTCCTGCAGAACGAAGAGATTGAGGCGAGCTTCATGGAAGTGTCCAGGCATTTTGCAGCAATTGACAAGCAGGGTATTGGAATCCTCAAGCCCAGTGAAGTTATCAAATTGATGATGTCGCTTCAGAGAACTGGCATTTCCTACCAAACATTTGCCGACATGATTCTGAAGGATATGAAATTCTCTGTCAGTGACAGCAATGTACGAATTCTATTCAACATGGTCGACAGGTCCGGCAATGGGAGCATCTCTAAGCTGGAGTTCATGGAGGGCTTCAAAGAATTGGTGCGAGGCATACTGCCAAATTTGATTCTCAGTTCCCTTTCATTGCTACCGGAGCAGATCGCCAACCACATTCTGAGCACTTTGGTGTTTCTTTTGTTGTTGTTCACTTTCCTGTTCACTTCCATGGAGGCACTGGCCCCTTCCTCAGAAGACCTGGACTACATGGGAGCAATTCAAGCCGCAGTGGCGGGTATGGCTGCTCTGGGTGTGCGAGCGCAGAGCACTAGCGGCATGGACGCCCAAAGCATCAAGGAAGCGATCGCGGCTCGCCTTAGCCAGCTGCTGCCAGGTCAGAAAAGGCGTTGAGGCGAAGCCTCAAACCTGACCCCCGCATCGGTATCACCGGACTGAACCGCCAGAGCCCGCCCATTGCTGTACATGCGCAAACCGGCGGATATCAAGTCTTAACTTAAGATTGAGTAAATCTAATGGACAAGTGTCATAAGCAGATCTGATTTTCACGGGTATGACCTCTGCCGGTTTGTGGCAACGTGGCAGGTAGTTAATAACTAGGTCTATCGTGTGCAGTGTCTTTAGGCCTGTGCTGGTTTCGTTGTCGTGTCGAATAGCGACATGACGACTTGCTTCTTCGCGGCATGATCGACTCGAGTCCGTGTGAGAGAGAGAGGTAATAATTAGGCAGACATTTGCGCACATCGAGGTTCTTTTTCGACTTCGATTCAGGTGCCCGAAGCCTCTGGCATGAAGAATGTGCCAATGTTGCACCTGCCCGCTTAAGAGCTCGGAGTACTTCACTTGCCAGGGTGTCTGAGAAAAAACCCGGATCTATGGACTCTTCTGGTTGAACAGATCTCACACATGAGCATGTTTCAACATCCACAGGCTTCAGCTCGCTTTGTGCGCGCAGCTTTCTTTAGCTTTCAAGATGACACATGTTTTCTCTTCCCTTACTTTGTGGGAGCATGTCGGCTGATCATTTTTGCTCACCGCTTTGCTCTCCTTGCGAATGTACTAGCGGTGAATTCATAGCGGCAGGGGCAGCCTGGCGTCTTGCTCAAGCGACGCACACATATGAGGCCCCAGTCATGGCTTGACTTGGTCAAGAACGAGGGTGGTGAGGAGGCTGAAGAGACCACTTCATGGATCTGAGCTACTTGTTGATGCACGCCTCACGGAGATGCTTAAAGACTACTCCTCCCAGCCTCCCAGCTTGATCCTGCCCTGAATACCTGGTTGTTTCATGTTGTTTCTCTATGTTGTTGCAAGCAGTACGGGTACCCTTTCGAACTTTATCAAGCTTGAGCCTGGTGGAGATGGTCGGGGATGGCCCAGCTGCTCCGATCTGAGCTCGACTTCCCGCCAGATGACCCGCAGTACTCGACCTCCGGGCGTTGAAGCGCTTGACTGCACAGACTTTGCTGCACCAGCACTGAAGCAGGACATCATCTTTGACTGCCTCATCACGCTGTTGGGTGCCTTTCTCATCGAAGCATCGAATCCAGTCCTGCTGTTGTGGGATTTGCCTGAAGCCGAGGTTCCCATGGCATCAGAGCTTCCCCCAAGGACTTCATCGATGCTGTGGCAGAGGTGAGGCGGACTTGCCCGGGTGTGAGCTGTGTCGCCGGTGCCAGGGGCTGAGAGTTTTGAAGCTGTGTTGCGCAGCCACTTCCAGACATCCTCTTGTCAGGACAGCAACCTGGGTGTTGCCTGCAGCAGTCCCGGAACGCCGAGGACGTGGGGAAAGCGCTAGCCAGCTTGGTCGCAAGCTGCAGGCCTGTGGGCCGACGGCCTGGAGGACAGTGGCCAGCCGCACAGCGGTGCATGCTGCGGATGCAAGGGAGCCGACCCGAAGCATGTGCACGTGGTCATGAACCATGCGGTAGACGCCAGCATCTCTCCAGGCCCTGCTACTTGCAGCCAGTGCTGGAAGGGAAGGTGTGACTCGCATAGGTTCCTCAACTAGCGGGCCTTCCTGTCCGGTCTTACGTGCCCGAAGCTCAGAAAGCGAAGGCGAAGGTGGCGAACACCCTGCAGCCAAAGCTCCGACCTCCTTGAGGTCACCGGATCCTGTGTCTTGTGGCTCACAGTGATCTCCTGGAGAAGTCGGCTTTGGCGCCTGTGACGGTGAGGCAGCGCGCTCCACATCCTGGCAGACCCAGCCCACAGTTTACCCATCCTGCGGCCGTTGTGCTGGTTTGAGACAACCCAGTAGCCCAGCCGTACAAACCGCAAGATGTCACGTGCGTGTTGCAACCAGTTTCTCTGCCTAGCAGAGTGTTGGTGGTGTTGGGACTCAAGCGAGCCTGCGTGGAGCTTGACGGGCCTTTTGCCGACGGTTCGGCAGCTGTTAAGAAGCTTTCACTGCATGCCTGTTATTGAATCGTGGATCGAAGGTCGCGCGCCTTCCGGTGGACATCGACCTGAAGTTTGTCTTGAGGCCTGCTGCACGATCACGCGTATTGACAATCGTCGTTCCGAGCTTCTGCTCGTTTGGGATTTTGCAACCCCATTGCGCGCTGTTCAAGCGTGAGTGTCATTCTTTCCCAGATCCAGGGATTCAAAGAACGGGGAGCTACGTCCCGTCCGTGATGATCACCCTTCGCCCATGGAACAGGCTCGCGGTTTCTCGCTCGTGGTTGCAGCGGCTGTTGATGTCCAAAAACTATGGTGGCTCACTGGCTTTCGCTGCGACCGGCCTGCCATCGTGGATGCAGCGATTTGGGTCATGGAGTAAGGATGGACCAGCTCCTATGCTTTGGTCTGCAGTGCCGCATCGTGCCACATGAAAGGACGAATGCTGGTCACGCATACGAGAAACGGAAGGACTGCCCGTAGCCTTGGCCGAATAGGCTGGCAGCTGCGCTGGAGGTGATCCCTGAATGTTTGACTGATATGCAGCAATTTGTCAGGTTAGCGCTTTGGAAGAGTTGTCAAACCGCTGGTCGCACTCTCAGCAAGCCTACCGCGGTGGCATCAAACATGTGTGTGAACAGATGGTGCTCATCATGAAAGGTACTTCATGCATCTGTGCTGCGAAGAGCGAAGGATGGGTCTGCCGTGGCCTCAGGGTCATGTCCTTGACTGTACTGCATTCAATCATGACCGAGCATGAATGCTAGCAGCTGCTGTTCTGCAGAGACAAGTAGAACAGTATTGAAGTGGTGAAGCCTGTGCATTGCATGAATAGATGTGTTAAACAAACAAGGTTTGTTTTGCCACAATTTCTCGGATTCGAGCGACCTTTCAGGAAAGCACAATGGAGGAATGTGTAAATCATGATTGAATCGTTAAGTTGTTCATTCTTGTTCTGCCTCCTTGCAGGAAGCCTACTCAAGTGTTTGAACCAACTCTTGATATACGTAAACCCCATCAGGGAACCAGGGAACCACATTGTGCTGTGGGGCGATTATTGCAGCGCGGCCACTTGAACAGTTCCTGCTCTTGATCCCGTTTGATCCCACGAGCCCACCGCGACCTTCGAGATGCTGCGCAGGATCCCCAGCGAAGCGCTCTCGCACGCAGGCCCCGAGGAGCAGGAGCTGCGGTGCAAGCTGCTGCGTGGAGCCACCATCGTCTTCTTCTCGGCCGGCTATCCCAGGAAGAAGTTCATCTACCGCAAAGCCGCCAAAATGGGCGTCAAGGCAGTCATCATCGACACACCTGACTCGTGGGCGAAGTCGCTTGTCGAGGAGCAGGTTATCGCGAAGTTCATCCCCGTGGACATGGGGATGGACGCTGAGTCGGTGTTCAACAGCGCACTCGCCGCCATCAAGGAGCTCAGCGCGGACGAAGCGACGGGTCCAGCGGACGGCATCTGCACGTTCTTGGAGCAGAGTCTGGAGATGGCGTCTCGTCTGGCCGAGGCAACTGGGCTCCCCGGCCCCAAGCCCGAGGCGGTGGACATCGCGCGCAACAAACACCTCACCCGGAAAGTCATGGCGGACGCCGGGCTGCCCTCCATCGCCAACATGCTCATCGAGAACGAATCTCAACTCGAGGAGGCTGCGCGAAAGGTCGGCTTTCCGTCTGTGCTGAAGCCTGTGGGCGGCTTCGCTTCGTTGGGCGTGCAGAAGGTGAACAACGAGGCAGAGTTGCTGTCGGTGTACCGCGAAGTCGTATCGGTACTGCGCGGGCTGGTGGTTTCGGAGGGCTCTGCTCTGCGCTCGAGTGCTGCTCCCGACGAGAGGACCAATGGCGTCGATCTTGACAAAGTGATTGACACGACGGTGATGTTGGAGGAGTACTTGGATGGCGACGAGGTGGACATCGACATCGTCATGAGCAACGGAGAGGCGCGATACATCACCGTGTCGGACAACGGGCCGACTCACGA